GTTTAGGGTACGTTCACACCAGATGCAGTGCGTTCCGGTCCAATTCTGGCCGGAATGCACTGCATCGCGGCCGACTCACTTTTTTGTGGGGCAGGAGGGGGCGTGGCGGGCCATTTAAGTGAAGGGCATCAAAATGCTGCAAGCATTATTTTGATGGAACCGCACCAGACTGCAGGCACAATGTGCGGTCCCGTGCGGGCTGTCGCATTGCGGCCAGAGGGCGTGGCTACAGTGCCATTCACCTCAATGGCCCGCCACAACCCCTCCTGCCCCACAAAAAAGTCAGCTGGCCTCAATGCGACGCAGTGCGTTCTGGCCAGAATCGGACCGGAACGCACTGCATCTGGTGGGAACGTACCCTGAAAGTGGCAGTCAGTTAATATCCGTGTTTGATATCCCCAAACTGGAAGTGAATGATGCTTTAGTGGTTCAGCGGAGCGTGTGAAGAAGGCCACGGGGGATCCGGAAGGAATTTTGTCCCTGTTGGGAGTACATGTGACACCACGTTAGCCTCTGGATTATCTGTGGGTTTGGGGTTCCGAGAATGCAGGTTTTAGAATGTATGCCTTTCTATTGGTTTGACTCTTTATCTACCAGTTATAAGCGGGACAGACTCACATGGTAGTGGAAGCGGTAAACCATGCTGCACAAAGCAGGGACACCCAGGAACAGTCCAAGCAGGTTCGTCCTGCACTTGTATTCTGCCAGACAGCAAATAAACACAGCTCAGTGCCGGAGGGCTTCATACAGCCAGTACGTGGCATACAACAAACAAAACATCGGCTTGTCCGATCCACTTACTACACTCGGGTCAATTCCTGATTATCAGGGTGCCGTGTTAGTGTTCTGTCAGCACTCAGATTTTCACAGAGCAGCAGAGAGATAAATCCGTATAGACTTGGGTACAGCAGAGACTAATAAGGAGAAGTCTGCGGCATTGGGGAGTCCGGGACTAAACGTGTGTGGAGGAGGTCTGCGGACTAATCCAACACTCATTCTATAAATCCGGCTGCCGGAACCTCAGTTAGTCCCCAGCCAAAATGATGAGCCCTTTGCTCTAGATCCAGGGAATCCAGAGTCACAGACCGCACCCCAAAATAACGCTGGGTGCACCACCACAATATCGCATACCTCCGAGAGCCCCCCACCTTCATCCCACTGACATTGTGGCATTTGAGCCCCTCCTAATGTTTGTGTAATTTGGCCACAAAGGCGCTCCTCCTCGGTCGGCTCCGTCAGAAGGCGCTCATCCTCGGTCGGCGCCACCAGAAGGCGCTCATCCTCGGTCGGCGCCACCAGAAGGCGCTCATCCTCGGTCGGCGCCGCCAGAAGGCGCTCATCCTCGGTCGGCTCCGCCAGAAGGCGCTCCTCCTCGGTTGGCTCCGTCAGAAGGCGCTCCTCCTCCTCGGTCGGCTCCGCCAGAAGGCGCTCCTCCTCGGTCGGCTACTCTAGAACGCGAGCAGGATGATGTCATCTCCCGGGTCAGCGCTCTGCATACCAGGACGGCTCGAATTAGAAAGACGACGACGACTCTTATTAATGTTCCCGGCTGCAGATATGACATCCGGCCTACAAATGAAATGTAAATATACAATGTAGGTGTGGTAGGTGTGTGCCTGAGGGGTGACTAATGGCGGGGACACGGCGTATCTCAGCCAGCACCATGTGAAGGAACACCCCGACCCCGGTGATGGTACAGATCATCCCTGTACCTGTATGTGAGGGTGCCTAGGCTCTCCTGTGCCTGTATGTGAGGGTGCCTAGGCTCTCCTGTACCTGTATGTGAGGGTGCCTAGGCTCTCCTGTGCCTGTATGTGAGGGCGCCTAGGCTCTCCTGTACCTGTATGTGAGGGTGCCTAGGCTCTCCTGTGCCTGTATGTGAGGGTGCCTAGGCTCTCCTGTACCTGTATGCGAGGGCGCCTAGGCTCTCCTGTACCTGTATGTGAGGGTGCCTAGGCTCTCCGGTACCTGTATGTGTAGATCTCAGGAGATTTGGTGAGGCTGATCACGGTTCCCCCTGCTGGAGAGGAAGCTGTACCTGAGGACCTGCAGTGCTGCATCTCCCTGCCTCTTCCATGGGGGGGCAGTTCTGACAGGAGGAAGCAAAGCCCTGCCTCTACCAAGATGGCCGCCTCCATCCAGAGACGCAGTGCAGAAGACATGACCAGTCGGATGTTTGTACAGCTGGGACATGGGACTGGAGGCTGTTTGGCGACAGGGACTGATGTTGTCCTGAACACGGGCGGCACTCTGGTCACCAGCACTTCCCGGGTGTCCCTGCCGCTGAGGACTCGCTGCGTTATCACCAGCACAGCGCGGGAGGCCGATCCGTGATCGTCTCATCATCCTGGTATGTGGGGCTCAGGAGGAGCGGACATTCTGATTGGATGTTCATGTTCCCCGAGACGTCCACACTGACCAATCAGAGGGGGAGAAACTGACATGGAACAGAGGAGACCATCCGTCCAATCCCAGAGCCACATCCACTGACAGCCATTGTCCCTGTGTGTCCAGGACCGGCACGCATCCTATACAGGAGACAGTCCCTGTGTGTCCAGGACCGGCACACATCCTAGAGAGGAGACAGTCCCTGTGTGTCCGGGACTGGCACACATCATGACATATCAGTGCAGTGTATACAGCACAGGCCGCCCCTCCCCCAATGATCGTTTCCATGGTAACGGACTATGGAGGTGATATGACAATGTATACACTACAGATGACACTCCACGCTCTATCACGGAACTCCATAGTGATGTCACACTCCAGGCACATTGGTAGGACAGCAGCTCAGTACATCGACCACCCCCCTCTGTGACCCGCACTCACCACCCGATTGTCGCGCTTCCCCATGATGCTCTGCGCTCTCTCGGTTAGACTCCCGGGAAGAAGCCTCCGGCGGCTCACACAGCGCACCGACCATAGAGAGGCAGGCCGTGAGAGAGCGGCGCCAGAGCTGAGCGCTCCCCCTGCTGGAGGAAACCCGCTGATAGGCTCGGATGTTCCTGGGCAACGTGACACACGGCAGCCAATCAGAATTCATCTTGTGCTGGGCTGCCTTCACCTTCAGATGAATAAATTATAATTGTATTCCCTGAGTCACAAAAACTGAGAGAATGCAAATAATAAAGGCACAGTCCACATTGTGCAAAAATGGTATAAATGCATCCATATAAATACATGTGCATTTATATTTTCGCATTGAAACCTGCAAAGCTTTGCAACACTGATAAGTGAGCTGCAGATGTAGTGCGCAGGCCCTGCATTGTTTATATCCCTTACCCACATCCATATCAGACATCCCAACCTGCAAAACCTTATTTCAGGGAGGTGTCCTTCTCATTCCAAGGAAGTGTCCTTCTCATGTCAGGGAGGTGCCCTGTTTTTTTTTCTATTCTGACAGCGGCCGCCATCAGAAGAAAAAAAAAAACCAACAACAAGATAGCAGGGGAATGAATAGCTAGGCTGCTATTGGCCATTTCAAATTGCAATAGCAAATAGCAGGCTGGCTATTGTACACACCCCCTGCTGCTGTCAATCAGCAGAGGAGGCTCTGGAGAACTCCTGACCACCAATGTTGGGGTTTATTATTGCGTCCACTGACCACCAATGTTGGGGTTTATTATTGCGTCCACTGACCACCAATGTTAGGGGGTGGGGGGGGGCGCAGTTTGACATCTTCGCCCTGGGCACCAGATGACCTTGTCACGGAACTGGGAGGAGCAGTGGGCAGGAGGATAATGAGGCGCCCTCACCGTGTTTGCACGCCCCTGCTGCCATCAGGATTTCCCGGAAAACTGAAGACCAGCCATACCACCGGAGGGGTGTCCGGTGCACGGTATCGGTGCATCTCTAATACAAACATACATGCAGTTAGTATGTATGTTTATATTTGAGATGCACCGATACCGTTATATTTTTGGTATTTTTGTTTTTTTTACTCGCCGATACTGGAAGTCCCATTAAGGAAGCCGGGCAGCATGTAATGACTCACTGTCCGGCTTCCTGATTAGCTGGGAAGCCAGCTCCATGCTCCCTAATCACCAGGTGATGAGGAAGCATGGAGTCGGCTTTCTGGCCAATCAGGACGCCAGAGGGCAAGTAATAACTCACAACCTGGCTTCCTGATTGGCCAGCTTCCCAAACAATCAGGAAGCCGGAGGGTGAGTCATTACATGCCGTCCAGCTTCCTGATAGGCCAGGAAGCCAGCTCCATACTCCCTGGTGACGAAGGAGCATGGATCCGGCTTGTGGCCAATCAGGAAGCCGGGCGGCGTGTAATGACTCGCTGGTCAGCTCGGGATAAGTATTGGGAGCATTTGGGCGAGTACGAGTACTCCCCCAAATACTCGGTATCAGCACCAATACTAGTATCGGTGCATCCCTAGTTTTTATGCATGTATGTACGTGTATGTAGTCAGTGTCACTGAACTGGTTGGTGGCTCCCACCTATCCACCATTCCACTGACAGTGCCTGTAGGTGGCAGCCAGGTGCACTATCAGTGGCAGCAGAATGGTGGACTATGGGGGTGCCACAACTTTTTTATAAAAGGAACTGGGCAAGGAAGCGCTACTGCCCTATTAAATATATGTAGTCACAAGAATACCTGTATGCTGATTGGGTGTAATCTCTTGCTCATAGATAATGACATAAACGAGAAGTTAAAATAACTCAATGTTAGATGGTACGTTTGCGGCTGGTGAGACTGGCGTTGCCCTGCCGAGAGGGTCGTCTGCCAGAAGACCGTGAAAATCGATAGAAACTGACCTTCGTCTAGGGTTGGTTATACATTGAATGTGTCTTAGGGGGAATCCGCTGGCCAAGCTGAGCCTGAACGAATCCGTGGAAGAGCGGCGGGGGAAACCGCTGCTTTGCTGTCTATCAAGCCACGGCTCGCTGTGTCTAGCTGTCAGTGAGTAAAATGTAAAATGACAGTGTCACGTCAGTGAGGAAGCTGTCCAATGGCTACCTGGGGACACTGATCTGTCATTAAACAATAACTGGGCGGAGCCATCTTTAACGTCACGTCCGGCTCCGCCCAGTTGTTATTCATTGGCCGGGACCTGCTAACAGACTCTAGCAGGTGCCAGCCAATAGAAAACAGTTGGGCGGAGCTGGATGTCACTGTTAACTTCGCCCATTTTCTTTTCCTTTTTAGGCCTTGTTCACACCAAGCGCAGAGCAGGTGCAGAGCAGATCAGTTGCAGACCGGATCAAAACTGTGTCCAATGTATTCCTATGGTATTTTATGCTCCAGTTCACATTGCAGCGTGCAGTTCCAGAGCAGGTGAAAAAACTCCGGCAGGCCCTATTTTACCTCCTCTGGATCTGCAAACGCATCAAAAACGCATGCAAATGCCTGGAACGCACTGAAAGCCCATTTTAAACTGTTAAAAAAAAATGTGATGTATTTTATAATGTCTGGATAAGCTATGTTTGGTAAAACCTTTTTTAATATTGTTAATGTGCTCTTCCAATCTCTTTTTTAATTCCCTTTTAGTCCTCCCCACATATTGTAAGCCACATGGGCATTCCAGGAGGTATGTAACATGCCGACTGTTACATGAAATAAAATTAAAATAAAATTATTTTCAAAATAAAGAATTTTATTTCATGTAACAGTCGGCATGTTACATACCTCCTGGAATGCCCATGTGGCTTACAATATGTGGGGAGGACTAAAAGGGAATTAAAAAAGAGATTGGAAGAGCACATTAACAATATTAAAAAAGGTTTATAATTTTTTATAGTTCACTTTGATATACTTAGTTTTATGGTTTTTATAGTGTGATATCCTGTTACATTTATTCACTTATCTTATTGAGGAATGTAGCTTTCCTTTTGATTGTTTGCACATCAGCACTTTTTCAGTCCTTTATGGACACCTGTTTTTTGGTACTTTATATTCATATTGGTAGGTTTTTTTGAAGACTTATACACAGTGTGGTCACTCATGTTTTGATCCATATATATTCACATATTTTTATATTTATCTCAAACCTTTAGCGCTGTGACAACACTTTACACTTTCACTTTACACTTTTCATAGCAGCTTTAGGATCACTATTTGACTTTTAGTTTACTTTCCAAAAGCGCAGATTTTTTGTTGCAATCAGTTCTCATGTAAATGCCAAGTATCGGCACTGGTATCTGAACATCCCTAAATGGCACCACAAGCGCGTTTGGCATTTTTGCCGCGTTCCATGGATGTGGAGGTTTTTCCACATTCACATACCGTGATGGCGTGAACGGGGCCTTCGGCTTCTATTTAGAAAACAGTGAATGTGCCATTTACCAAACATTCACTACTGGTGCATGTGTTTTAAATCATAGTAATTGATACGCCTGCAGTGAGTGACAGTGTCAGGCCCTGTTCACACCTTTACGTTTTGTCACGCGTTCAACGCTCTATGAACGCTCTACAAAATGTACAAACTTGAAAATCCCATTGTTTTCTATGGGTATGGTTCACACCTTTCCGTATTTCAGCCCGTCTGAACTCGCTACAAAACGGCCTACGCCCAAAGAAGTACATGTACTTCTTTGGTGCGTTTTGGTCTCGCGTTTCCATTGGGATACAGCCAAGTAGCCCTCGGAAACGTGCGACAAACGCGCATATTCAATACGCCTAGGTGTGAACCCAGCCTCAGTGAGCGGTGAATGTCACATTCACTGCTTTATAAATATGGCTTTAGATAAACAGTGCATCTGGTAAATGAAACACCCTCAGCTCCTGAAGCAGCCACCAAATGCAACTCAGCTGAAAGGGAGCAATGCGGAAAGCAGAATGCTTCTAAACCAGGGGTGGGCAACTCCGGCCCTCAAGCTGTTGTGGAACTACAAGTCCCATGAGGCATTGCAAGACTGACAGTTAGGCCTCATTCACACACAACGCAAGAGCAAAATTGTAAATGCGCATAGTCGCGTAAATTGTATGCAATCCCAGAATGCATCATTTTTCATAGAAACTTTAATGTACTGTACGCGCGCACATACGCGTATATGTGCACACGCGCGTAAAGTACGCAGAAATTCCGAGCCCGGACGCATCTCAATTCCATTTTATTTTTGCGCATCTTTACACAGCGCAAAAATACGGCTCCATACGCAGCTATGTGCATTAAATTGCATATGGGGAAAAACCCTGCGTGCATCTATGCTCCGTATTATATGGCAGTGTGAATGAGGCCTTACAGGCATGACTCCCTGTGGCAGAGGCATGTTGGGATTTGTAGTTAAAGCAAAGCTGGGGGGCCGGAGTTGCCTACCCCTGTTCTGGACAGTTACATAGAACTGGAAATGTTATTGGAAACCCTTAGGAAACCATAAAGAGCCGAGAATGATGAAATGTAACCTTGAGCCGGTCTTTACAAGGAATTGCTATACAGCCTCCTGTGCATCTCCCTCTCCTAGGGCGGCTCTAGACAGCGGCGGCTCTCTGCAAAAACATCAAGTCTGATACTTTCCTCTGCCCAATGTTTTTTCTTTTTTTTATTTTCAACACAAAGTCAAACAATAAAGTAATAAACATATTTGGAACTTTCTAGATCTATCCCCTACCCAGTACCCCTCATGTATGTACGCCAGTTCATTTCTGTACAAGGAAAAAGCAAACTCATCATAACCCCAACCACTATGGAGTGGCGACTAAAAACATTTAAGGCCTCCTGCGTCATTGAGGAATTGCCCCTGTTGGTCATAGGACCAATCAGCTTCTTCCATATATCTAGGTAAACGAACGTCAACAAAGCTGATTACTATAAGCAGCACACACAGACGTAGCCAGTAAGACCACAATCAGCGTGCAAAGTGCACACACCCATATCAACCAATCAGAAATGATCTTAAAGTGAGCCCGGTTTGGCTTAATGAAGATGGCAAGCATATATATTGAAAACCATGACAGCGTTCAGCCGGGATATCCCTGTACTGCAAAACCACATTTTAATACAAGTCAGAAACTTGAATTCTTAGTTGCAAGCATGTGATCACCATGGCGGAGACGAAGAAACTGGAGACTTCACGTCCCTCCTACGCCAGCAATATCTCCATGGCCGACAACGCTAAGGTTTGCTGAAAGCAGCGTGATGACATCAGAGATCCCAATGACACAGAGATGACAACAACGGTTATGTGAATTGAGCAGCGCAGTGTTAAAAGTTGACGGCTCCGGACAGGAAACACATAGCCGTGGCACACTCTGGCAGGATCACCAGGTACGTTATCCTGATTGGTTAGAAATGACAGCAGGTATATTAGCAGAGTTTGGCTCATGAAATGGGATGTACATGTCAAAACATTCTCAATTCTGGGCGAAGTTCCACTTTCATATACGTTTCGAAAGTAATAGTGGTGACGTACAGGGACCTTCTGGGTGCGTGGAGGTGCAGGTGTTGGATCATTGTCCTAGGACGTGCACTGGGTCCTCCACCAGAAGTTGAGATCCAGTGTACATCCCAGGCTGATGATCCAACACATGTACCTGCAAGAACCTGCTAGGAAACACATAGCCGTGGCACACACTGGCAGGACCACCAGGTAAAGTCTCCTTATTCATTATGATAGCAGGTATATGAGCAGAGTTTAGCTCTTGACGTGGGTGATGTACGTCTCAAAACATTCTTTATTTTGGGTGAAGTTCCACTTTAATATGTTTTGAAATGAATACTGGTGACATGCAGGGACCTTAAGGGAGCCAGCAAGTATATGTGTTGGACCATTGTCCTGGGATGTACATTGGGTCCCCTACCAGAAGTTAAGATCCAGTGTACATCCTGGGCTGATGATCCAGCGCACGTACCTGCAAGAACCTGCTAGGAAACACACAGGGGGCTATTCACAAAGCTGCTGAAGGCAGCCGAGTGAATAACCCAGCCGAAGTAAAGTGAGCCGAACGACGTTCGGCTATTCACTCGGGCTTAGTACGTGCTCTGCATGTTTGGCTGAGTTGAAGTGCAGAAGGAACATCTGGATCGGCTGAGCCGAAGCTCCGGCACCTCACTTGTTGCCGTTCGCCCCTATTCTCATAGGGGCTGAACGACAGTGAGTGAATAGCCAAATGCCGCCGAGCGGCATTCAGCACGGCTGTTCTGTTTGGTACCTCTGTGGTACCGAGCAGAATAGAAAATAAGTGGGAAAAAAGGAAAGAAAAAAATATTTAGAAAAATATGTAAAAAATAAAAAAAAAGAAATAAAGATATTTTAAAGAAAAGAAAAAAACAATTGGGCGGAGCTAGCGCTGACAGCTAGCTCCCCCAACTGTTTTCTATTGGCTGGTACCTGTTAGAGTCTTCTAGCAGGTCACGGCCAATTAACAAATGGGCAGAGTCAGCCGTGACGTCATGTTGTTATTGTTTAATGACAGATCAGCGTTCCCAGGTCATTTGGGGACGCTGATCTGTCATTACAACTGGGTGGAGCCAGTCGTGCGATCACAGCTGGCACAGCCCAGCTGTCATTTGCAGGGCAAACGGCCGGCCTTCAGCAGGCCGTTCGCCCCGCTTCGGCTGTCACTTCTGCTCAGTCGAGCCGAAGCATATGCCTTCGGCTCGGCTGGGCTGCTGTACGGGTTATAGTGAATAGCCCGTACAGCAGCCCTTCGGTTCGAAGTTACGGCTGCACACACTGGCAGGAACCAGCACTGAACTGAAGGTCCCGTCACTACCCAAAACTTTTTGTTTTTGCTAGTAGCACTTGGTCACATTAAACTAGATTTGTTCCGTAATGTTGAAGATGTTTCGTAGCTTCTCTGAGACACTTCTTCAGTGCTAAAGAGTGTTAGAACCAGCCCAGTGTACATCCTGGGCTGATGATCCTGCACACGTACCTGCTAGGAAACACATAGCTGCGGAACACTCTGGCAGGAACCAGCACTGAACTGAAGGTCCCTGCACTACCCAAAACTTTTTATTTAGCTCGTAGTAGTTGGTCACATTAAACTTGATTTGTTCCGTAATGTTGAAGATGTTTTGTAGCTTCTCCAAGACACTTCTTCAGTGCTAATGAGTGCTAAGAAAATACCTGACCATAACTGGCCTGGGGAAACTATGAAAAACCTTCAACGTTATAGAACAAGTCTAGCCGGACTCAAAGTAAATCTGAGGATGCAAAAAATAAAATTTCAGAAGTAAGCCTGAACAATTTTATTAATTAAAGACTGAATATGAAGATTCTTACATCAGCACAGCTGTGACTGGTACTTTTTATACTGCCCAGAGACATGAAAAGACAAGAGGACACAAAGGCCAACTGTATGAAGGTGTCCTCAGGCCAGGTCTTAGAAGCGAGTGCTTGGATCTCCTAACAGTTCATATTTATGCCATGGAACGCGGAGAAGGAAGTTGCATACATCAACTCGGTCCAATCACTATTTACCCTCTTAGCCATGACTGGATGGAATGGGCATCAATCATTTCATGTCTATGGCCACCTTTATATCGGTTTTACTACTTTGTGTCAAAATCTGATTGGTTGTTATGGCGTTTTGATCTTTGATCTAAGCCTGCTCAATTTTTTTCTTTTAAGGCCCCAAACTTCATTTCGAGATATTATGGATTGAAATATTTTAATACATCGACCACATTTTCTTGTGTATGTGAAAGAACCATTTTGCTGGCTAAGGTAACATTCATGAGAACAAAGCTGTAAATTCATAATGGGGTATTGACGCCACCAAGGCCCCAAGATGGATGCCGTACATTACGGAAAGACAGTACAATTACTTATTGTAAGTACATTATAACCAAAAATATAAAAAAAAAAAAGGAGTCATTTCATCAGCAGCTGTAGGGAGGGTCCATCCTGTGTTGGAGGCCGGATCAGTCTGTATCCTACCGGTGTTTTTAAAGTTAAATTTTAAAAAAAAAGGCAGCAAAATTGATCAGCAGCTTTGCTTTAAACTTGTGGCAACCCAGACTGAAAAAAAAAATAGTAAAAAAGAACAAAAAAATAAAAACTGCACACAGCTTGCATTGATTGGTTTGTTTGCAGATACGCAAGGGAGACTGCAGGTCAGGTGCCCAGGATAAGCTGTGTGACGCTCGGAACCTCATGGCAACTTGGCCAAGTATACTTTCAACCTTCCTCGGCTCAGGCGCTCCCCATTTCAGACGTACTGTCCCCCCCAGACTTCTGCCCATTGGACCTGTGACGTTCTGAACTGTCTTTGTGGGTCAGTAAATCGTCAAAGAAAGAATGGGACAGGGCGCTGAATGCCGTCACCCGATTTGCAGGGCTGAATATCAGACATTTCTGCAAAAAAACAAAACACAGAGGTAAGTGCATCTATGGGAAGATGATGTCTATCATGGCCTTTCATACCCAATACAGCTCTTCTCAAGTCTACAACAACCTGCGAGTGTGGCCTAGCTGCCAAGGATATGTGTCACATGGGGTAAGGGGGCATAACGCCCAACTGGCCACTAAGGGCTCAGTAAAGGGAATGTATGGTGGTGTTGCACATTTTATTTCCTCTGCTTAGGAGTAATACATATTTTTTATTCAGGTAAATAAATGAAATATCGGGTATGATATTTTATATTCTCGTATCCAGCCAACAGGTGGAGTTCTAAGCAGGGCCGGATGTCCCACAAGGCCAGGCCTAGGGGTAGCACGGAGTAGAGGGGCAGCAGGGGTGTGGAATTCCTATCTCCCGATGCCCGGGACATGCAGTTCGTTGTTTTCGGGTAGTTGTTTTCTACATTTAGCCCTGCTTTGGGCAAGCCAAGCTAAATGTACATTGGGGAAACGGCTCGCTTGTTTCGTAAATGTCACTTGTATGCAGCCTGCAGGTCTGCCATTCTCCATTGGGGGGGGTTTGCATTGAGGAACCTGGCTGTGGGGCAGCAGAGAGAGTAAATCCGGCCCTGGTTCTGTGCTTCTTTTGCACGTTTTCCCATCCCTCCTTACCTGCTTTCAATAAAAGTGCTGAAATTGAGTCCAAAGAGTGGCCCCTCCTTCTCTGATCCCTACACAGAGTGAGAGTGAGTTTGAAAGACAATTGCTTCTGCTACTCAGACTCTCTCTCTTTAGGAAATAGCTTGTTAAACAATTATTTTATACATTGCCTGGCCAAAGAAAAACTCACCACCTGGATTTAGTGTTCTAGATCTGTGGTTACTTCAGTTGGTCAGATCTAGGTTCAGCAATGTTATGTTCCCAAAAAATGTGGTCAGCTGCCAACCTGAATTTACTGAATGACCAGGTTTGGATTGTTTCTTCCCTGGTGGCACATTGGGCATATTCCAAGATGACAATGCCAGGGTTCAGCGGGCTCAGGTTGTGAAAGAGTGGTTCAGGGAGCATGAGACATCATTGTCACACATGGATTGGCCACCACAGACTCCAGACCTCAACCCCATTGACAATCTTTGGGATGTTCTGGAGAAGACTTTACGCAGCGCTCCGACTCTCCCATCATCACTACAGGATCTTGGTGAAAAATTAATACAACTCTGGATGGAAATAAATGTTGTGACATTGCATACGCTTATCAAAACAATGCCATGGTTAATGTGTGCCATAATTAAAGCTAAAGGCGGTCCAACGAAATATTACAGTGTGTGACTTTTTTTTTCCCCCAGCCAGGCAGTGTATATAGAGTAAAAAATCTAAAATAAAATTGGCCCTAAACCATTACTGGTCTTTAAAGTGATCCCGTACATTTATGTTTGGAGTATTCTACTGGAATGGAACTAATAAATGCAAATTTCCAGTCTTTGCCTTTTGACTTAAAGCCCTCTTGGTTTGCCAGGTCATGTGATGAGTGCCTCGGCATTGGTGACACAGTCTGAGCCAACGGGAAGGTAAAAGCCTTCATATTGACAAATTATGATGAAGGTTTGTAAACTCACAAGAAGTAAATCTTTGCCTATTTCATCGATGTCTGGAACGGCGTCTTCTATGAGCTGCGGGTGCCGGAAATGGAAAGCGCTCTGCGGGATGGCTACCTCACTAGGCCACTCCTCTTCATCCGGGAGACCAATGACACTGGGAGAAGAAGAAAACACACTTGGCTTGTGAACCCATTATGGCTTACTCATGTAAACTGCTGAAAATGGTTTCATCTATTTAACCCTTTCACTGCCTAAACCATTTTTCATTTGATTTTTTTCCCCTCATTTTTGGAACATGTGTATGTTTATTTTAGTCCTGAAGATTAATTAAACCCCCCAAACATATATTTTCTGAAAAATAAAATGGTGGCAGCTGCAGTTTTTTATGTCACACGATAATTGCGCTACTTTTTACAGTAAATAATAAATAAATACACTTAAACCATTTTATTGCACATAAACACAATATAACTCCCAATTTTTGGGTAAAAGGTAAAATCAGGGAAGGGTTAGAATCTCTGTCTGGTTAATATCGTGTGTCTTTTCCTGTGCCAATGACAACCACCTCCCTCGTTTCTTGTAGCACTGTCCCAGGGACAGGAAGTGAGGTGACAGCTTCCCAACAGGAAGTACTTATCCTTGTTGCACTCCTTACCGAAAGTCCCCTGTGATGGGGGGGTGCTCGCAGTGACTGCGGATGGCGCCGCAAATATCAAAAAATTGTAGAAATGTCACCAGCACACCAATCCTTTTAGTATAGCACAAGGTTCAATAATTGACAAGGTCAATGCGAAAGCCTGATGAAGGGACCCTGTGTGGCCACGAAAGCGCTTGTTCATGTGACAAGGAACTTCAATAAATGAAGCTTTTGCTATTCTAAAAGGATTGGTGTGCTGGTGACATATCAACAATCTTCCCAACAGGACCACAGACAGCAACTAAAACTTGGCATTATAAACATTTATGATCCTTTGGTTATATCTAACGTACATTATCACTGCCGTGTACACTCTATACCCAAAGACTAACTAAAAAACAAAATTGTCAGGTTTTTATTGCTGTCTGGGCTCCACTGGAGAGATCTAACTCCACAATTTGTCCTAGTGACCATCAGTGTTAGAGGAAGTGAGAGAGAATCCAAAATCTTCCAATGGAGACAACTGTCAAAGATTGTATTTCCCCTCCTTCAGGGAAATTTGCATACTTCCTGTTGTGTCTCTTGGAACAGGAAGCAGGAGGCAGAAACAGCAATACTAACCTAACAGGGTTCTTAAACTTTGCCGCTCAACTCAAAGCTAAACAAAAAAAGATTTTGGCTGAGGTTACACTTTATTTCCCGAAGAGTAATTTTTGATGGGACAACTGTACTTGCTACACCGCACACAAATAGAATATTTGCAATTGAATTTTGCCTTTTTATTTCTGTATGTATTTTTATAATCTAGATGTTATTTAAAATAAAAATCTTTCTACCAAACTTCACGCCAAGGTGTCATATCTCTCACAAACCCCGGTATTTTTCTGCTTTGTGTTGTAATACACTGCACACATACTATAAAATTGCCCTAGCATGTGACCTCCAACCAAAGAGAAGGGACTGGGCAACACAGAAGGTTTCACAACATTAGATGACCACCAATAATATTGTAAGTCAATAATATGTCATAAGTCAACCAATTCAAGTGCTTAGTAAGCACACAAACTTGGTTCATATTGAATAATTGTGAAATATATGGTCAAACCCTTCCAAATGATTGTGCTTGCCCAGTAATGGGTCCTGGTGATGCTACAGTATACAAAGACATTCTAGACAATTATGCTCCCAATTTTGGGTCAACAGTTTGAGGAAGGATCTCGTTCCAGCCTGACTGTGCTCCTATTCACAAAGCCAGGTCCATCAAGACAAGGGTTCATGAGATTGGTGTGGAGGAACCTGAGCATCCTACACAGAGCCCCACCTTAAAGCTGGCCATACACCGATCGATTATCGTTCAATTTCTTTCGTGTCGTCATCCAACCCTCGTTCGATTTCCGTACCACTGCCCCCATCATGCACAGACCAATGTCAATTTCAATAATGGTTCATTCGCAATACTAACTGACCGAATTTCGACGATTGACAGAACAGATTTTTGTTTACGCATGTGCAGTGTTCTTTGTTGTAACTTTTTTCCTACGAAAACGTCACTAATCCATCAATTTTAGTTCCAGGTTTTCCAGCCTCACCCTTCCAGAAAATTCGGCCAGGTGTACAATCAACTGATCGATTATCGTTGGAAAGACCATTCCTGGAGGATTTTAGAACGATAATCAATAGGTGTATGGGCACCTTTACTCTACTGAACACCTTTGAGAGGAAACAGGACACTGGTTTCGAGCCAGGTCTTCTCATCCACCATCAGTACCTGACCTCACAAATGCTCTTTTGGCTTCAAATTCCCACAAACACACCCAAATGGGTGGAGGCTGTTATAGCCGCAAAGGTAGGGGAAGGGGCAATGCCATATTAATGCCCATTGTCTCCGAATTGAATGTCCAACAAGCCCACATAGATGTGATGGTCAGATGTCCATAAACCTTTGACCACATACCGTAGTATATGTCTTCCAGGGGAATTGGTCAGCTCTGTAGCTCACGGTCAGCCAACCAGACCTTTGTGACCAGGCTGACACCAGAACATACCATTGCCATCAATGTTTTGCAGGATTCCCATTCATTATTATAATAAATATATATAAACTAGTGATCATCTTAAAAGTTTGTGAATGGATCGTTTTTGAATGGAAAAGTTTGTGAATGTATTGTTTTTGAATAGAAAAGTTTGTGAATGGATTGTTTTGGAATGGACCTTACATCAAACTTGTGAAATGATTGTCATCGTACGGATGATGTGTCTCATCTTTCTTTGTAAGGAGTTCCAAGGAGTGTACACAAGGGGGAGATAGAGCCCCACGTACAGTCTGATGCCACACGTGGCTTTATTCCACACAATGCAAATAAAACTTGTCCGCAGAGTATGAACAAACATTTATCAGATTTGCATGTTTTTGGTAAACAGATAATCGTGTTGACTTACTCAAATATTTTTTCTAGCTGATCCACATCTGAGCTTCCACAAAACAGGGGCCTTGAAGAGAAATATAACAAAGCGTCATATTTAGTCAACTACATACTGATATTTTGGCAACAATGTGCAGTACATTTTTATTGTATTTGATATAAGACATCTGTTAAGTTGACCTCTGCGCACAAAAACGTTTATCCAGATGTATTCTTCAATAGCTACAAAGGATATAAATCCACCTTTGGTGCACCAAATGCCTTTGCAAACCCAACGGTTATTTTAAAGAATTGGTGACATTATCACTGTTCTATACATAACCTGTGCAGAGGACAGAGCTGTAGGAGGGGCCCAACAGGCTCTAAACACTACAGGCTTCCTGCAGCAAACTACAGGAGGGAGGTGGAGACAAGACCAGCCACCCTGCACAAGGAGATAAAGCAGCAGTGACCGGTCTTCATTACAGGAAGCTCCTGCACAGAGACAGAGTTTCACATTGGATTACAGACAGGACACAATGAGTCAAGTAAGAATAAATATGCCTCTTCCAGTATCGAGTATGAGTACTGATATTTTGCTTTCGGTACTCGCCGATACCAATACCGGTGCTTCCACTGGCATGGAGTCGGCTACCCGGGCAATCAGGAAGCTGAGCGGCAGGTAATAACATGCTGCCTGACTTCCTGATTGCCCGGGAAGCCATCTCAATGTTGTTTGGCAGGCTCTATTGTGATTGGCCGGGAAACTGGCTTCCCAGCCAATCAACATCGAGTAATGACCTGCCTCCCAGCTTCCTGATTGACCAGGAAGTCAGCTCCATGCTGATTTGCTGGGAAGACGGCTTCCTGGCCAATCAGGAAGCCGGGTCATTATTTGCCACCCGGCTTGGTGATTGCCCAGGAAGCCGGCTCCATGTTCCCCTACGGCACTGTCGGAGGAAATCTCCCTCTGACCGGAAGTTCCGATATGGTATCTGCACCAATACCAATACTATTATCGGTGCATCCCTAATTTAAATAATGTTTGGTTATTCCAGATGAGCTTTAAACATTAATTCCCAGAGATCCGAAGAAACAGTACAGCAGTATAAGTAGCCTTCTATGTAAATTGCAGATTGAGCTACTGAGACTTGTAAACAACAGACTCTTTACAACTGGCTGCTAAGCAGTCTCTGGAGGATACATGACAATGGACTAAAGCTGCACTTGCCCCAGGGAATTCCTACATGGCTTGAACGTGCCCTGATCTCTACAGTCAATTGCATCCTTTGCAAAACTAACAAGCCATTTATGGTAACCTTTATGGTTGTAGATCTGACAATTCTGTTGGTGTAGAACTTGGGCTGCAGCCCAACAAGGCCACGGTAACCTCTTTTGCCCAACTTGAACTTAACAATTAACACAATATGCACCAAGTGGATGTTCTGGATCCTTCACTGTGAAGCTACAAAGCCAGTCTGCGGAAAAATTTCCCACATGCCTCCTCAGTGGAGGAGTCATCAATTCTGCTCAGCATGCTGCGGCGTTATATTATTACAGTGGGGCACTAAAGCATTGGGATGCCACAGATGGAGAAGGCCAACAGCAGGAGAAGACATGTTAGGTGAAAGGGAGGTACTCTAACCTTAGTAGCTACACCCCTGGACAGTTTAACTCTAGCTCCACGGCAGCTGTGACACCAGGACATTTCTGAGCTGTTCTGCACTGTTAACCTGACCCAAAAATGCATTAAAAGGATAGTTCTCTTATTTTATTATACTATCACAGATGTTGTTCTTGCAGAAGGCATTGGCACAGATTTTCTGTGGAATTCATGTGAATATTTCACGCATGCCTAAAGAGATGCAAAATGTTGGTTCTCAACCAAAAACCCAACATGTCGTCACCCTTCTTTCTTTGATCATCTTCCGTGGAAGTCGTCCAGAAGAATATTCTCACGGCCTCAGGTAGACGGCCATGACATGGCCAACCTCCCGTTTATCTCCGCAGTGTGATTCTTTCCAGAAATTGGAAGCGCACTGTATGATGATATAACAGCTTCTTGAAGAGCGTCCAAATTTTCAGTGGACACCCGCTGTACAGCTCTCAGCCAGATATGTGCTGATTGAGACCATCTGGCGAAGAGAAAGGAATGGACGCTGGAAATGATGTTGCTGTTTATAGGACGAGAACTGTCATTTATCCGTTTTAGTTGGTTGGGTTTACGGTGCCTACAGACATGAGATGATTGTTAGAGGAAAGCTGAATCTCATGTGACACTTACGCTGGTCACCCACAATCCTCAGTTTTCAGTTTCTTACATGGTCCCCCTTCCATGTTAATCCAGCACCTAAAACATTTCTTACCTTGCTCCCAACCCTACCTCTGAAGTCACCTTCAACTCCAGATCAATCTCCTATTCTGCACGTCCTTGACTGTTGATCTTTTCCTACTTCCTGGTCTACTTCTCCCCCTGTTCATCATTTTTGCTGACCTCACCACTGCACCTGGTCCCTTTGTTAACTGCTCCCTGTGACGACACGGTGATCAGTTTATAAGTTAAATGTGTATTGGTGTAACCAATTGGAATCCAGGGAGAGAAGGGGATCGTCCTCCCGCCCCAACAGCAAGCCAGAACCGAAGATGTGGATGTGATGGGATTATATTCTGATTTCATCACTTGCTGTATATAAGTTTGTGCAGTTGCTCAATAAATCAGAGTTTGTTTACCCTACACTCGAGCCTTGGCTAGTGACTGGGGAAACTGGGAGCTAAGGATCTTCAGGTTCCAATATCTCCTCAGCAAGGAAGAAGACAGCGGCGGATATACTCATCCTGAGTACGGGGGTCCGTCACACTCCCCACTCTCTCTTCCTGTGGTCTCATCACCAACTCCTGGTCCATCTACCTTCCCACCCATAACTACTGCTGAGCTCATATTAGTTCCTAGTCCCACTCTGTGGTGCATCTTAATTCAGCTCCTAGTCCATTTCACACTCTTCTTCTTACTCCACTCTGCCTCTGCTGCTGATTTCCACTTAGCTTCCAGGTTATTTCTCATCCTGCTCCCTGCTCTCTCTACCTGCAATGTTATCATGAACTCCTAGTCCATCTACCTTTCCACCAATAACTACTGCTGGTCTCACTTTGGCTCCTAGTTCCACTCCGCTGCAGATCTCAACTCACCTCCTAGTCCATTTCACACTCTTCTTCTTACTCCACTCTGCCTCCACTGCTGATTTCACCTTAGCTTCCAATTTCTCATCCTGCTCCCCACTATCTCTTCCTGTGATGTCATCACCAACTTCTGACCCATCTACCTTCCCACTCATAACTACTGCTGAGTTCACTTTAGTTCCTAGTCTCATTCCTTTCACCACTCCTCCATCACTGCTGATTTCACCTTAGATACCAATCCAGTTCCCTTCAATGTTCGCTCCCCTCATGGTTTCAATGTTCCAGCCCCCCCCCCCCCCTTCCTGGTGATCTCCCCTCATTTTTGACCCAGTACCAGTATACAGGTTGCGAGATCTGATTTCCTTTATTGCATGCTTGCACCAGGTCAGTGATTTGCAAAGATCTGAATCCAGAGATGGCCAGGCAATTCGTATTTTTGGTGATCAATGGCAACCTTCATAGTAAAGGTTTCTTTTTCATCTGAGTTCTATGTAATCACCTAAAGCCAGATTCCAGAGAGCTCCTTACCTGTGGTGTGGATGTGTCTGCTTCTTAAATCTGCACAATTTCCTCTATCTCTGTATCACACACCAAGCTTTGAAATGAACTGGTGGCTGCAAAAGGGTTGCCACCTGTCCCAGATTCACCGGGATAGTCCGGGTTTTGAGTCCTGTATGGGTTTTAGCTAGTCTGAAACCCTGAAACAGCACATACAGGACTCAAAACCCGGACTGTCCAGGTGAATCCGGGACAGGTGGCAACCCTAGGCTGCAATGAACGTCCCCGTAGATCAGACTTTCTGTAGGTGAGGGACAGAAGGTGGCCTGCAGTTGGTGTATTTGGAAACCCCCAGGGGTACCCTGATATCTACAAATAAGTGAGTTAGCAATGCCTGAAGAAACACTGCGCAAAACGGGTAGCATGTGCTCCTTGTGTGCACTTTAAAGCTTAGTTTCTCTGACGGCAGCGCAGCTTTAACACGCATTGCAAAGTATGAAAACCATAAAAACGTTGTGAAGCTGTAAAAGTGTGAAATGTTTCTGCGGTGTGTCCAATCTAGACAAATCCCTTCACTTAATCAGTGTGAGCCTCGGCTGCATGCTCCCCCTCCCGGCCTTCAGTCTGGATTCCTAACTCCTGGCCATGCTTTTACACTTGCTCTGCACTCCAGCACGGTGAATCCCATTAAGTGGCACCTGTGTCGTGGGAAAACATTCTAGCTATGTCCGCAGCCCGAGCCACAGCTTTCTAATCAGCCTCCGATGAGGCCGTGTCCTTGCCATATGACTTCCCCCCTCACATAACCGAGCCGGGCTTGTTCTGCACAACGCCATGATAATGGACAGATCACTGCTGGATTAAAGAGAAACGAAATTTTTTCACAGATATATGAGCGCAATCAGCTGGATGCAAAGAGGTTTCCAATGAGTGGAAATTACTCTAAAGCCTTGTTGCTATGTGTGACTTGTAGATATATGGTATGGCTTATATGCAATGTAAACATATCTGTCCTCTGACATTGTCTTACTGCTCCTCTTTGGATGTGCACCTATTGTCACATTGCCTACTTGTGTATCACTATCTGGTGAGTCGTTGACCCTGAACAATTATAAAAGACAGGCATTTAGACTTTTCAGAACTTACAGGTTGCATGAATATTGTGGATAAGCAATTTATTGGATGACAGTCTCGGAGCTTGCTCTTTTAACCCTTTGCCACTCATAATCTGTAGATTAATGATGCCTTGTTCATGTACTGTACATCTTCTCTTTACAGACAGACAGATAGTAGCTGGTACTCTGTTTAATCCTGGAATTGTCTCAAACAATGACAGTATAAAAAAAAAAATATAATATATATATAGTATTGTGTATTGTATTGTATATTGTATTGTGTATTGTCAATACACAATACAATATACAATGCACAATACAATACAAAATAATACAATACAATGCAGCATACCACGTGCACTTTGTTACATTACATACCGCTCTATATCACTGTCACCACCGCTCCCACTTCAGCCAGCTCCCGATCCCGATTCCCGATACGAGTCCTCCGATGTGTCTGGTCTGGGGTGGGTCACCATGAGAGGGTTCCAATTTCCAAATCTGTGCACTGGGCAGCTCCCGAGTCCCTCAACAGGTTGCCATCACTGTCGCCTCCAGAATGACGCTGCGGCCGCACTGCCTGCTGGTGTGTCCGGTCCGTCCGTTGCTCCGTCTCCTGCAGCCCTTGCTCCTTCACATGCGGCTGCGCGGTGAGGGGAACCAGGGGCGGGGCCACTTACGTCACTCACTGACGTAGGACTTAGCCAAGAGGACGGCTCAGTGGCGCTCTTCAGGCTTCCCCATAACGCTGCCCCGACAAGTAAGTTGAGACAGAGAGACACTGCACTGGTCAGCGCCGCTGCGGCCGGCGGCGACTCGTCCCTCAGATGCCGCCCGCAGCGGCAGCCCAAACTGAGCTCGATTGGACGGCTGGAGCCGGACTTATGCCGGCGCCCGGCCACTGTCACTTTTCCGCCCTGTTCCCTGGCGCCGTAAGGCAAGTGCCCATGTTGCCTTGCGCTAGCGCCGGCCCTGGATGTTGCTACATTTAGCCTTTGTATCTAGGCATCAATGACTTCCTGGCATCAATGGGATAAAAACCTATTTCTGTCCTCACAGGCTCACTTTAAGCAGGGATGTCAGTTGCATTCCCTGAGTTATAAATGACCACTGGATGGAGTGTCTACAAACACACATTTGAAATACAATATTCAAAATATGGAAAGGCAAGCAACATATAATGTAAAAGTTATGCCCAACAGCAACACATGCCTATATATAAAATGTAACTCCTTTGGGATAAGGGGAAGGGTCTGATCCCTTGCCAAGTTTCTATCCCTATTGGGATGATTTTCCCATCATTTTCTATTCAAGAAGGGGTACAACTCCACAAGGGGATAGAAAAAAATATGTATGTTTGTATCTCCATATATACTATGTTAGACAAATGAAGTCAAGTTATAGGTTGTATAGGGAAAAGTTTCCGCTTATACCCGTGCCCTTAGACGGAGGCCTCTGCAGCCTGATTCCCATAAAAGGCAATAGATTTTCCATCACAAACGGGATTAATTCCCTCTAATGGTTTATCTAAGTCCTAGTTTACAGTCCCAGAAATACACCCTCCTGTCTTCTCTTGCATTCCAGATTCCGGAAGAAATTCCTAGAATCCAAAGCTAAAGATGCTTCCTAACCCTAGCAACCTAATTCTCTCCCAGCCCTGGGCCCTCCAGAGCTGCCAAGTTGTGTGCAGATGTCAGCACAGGACATGTATCTGTAATGTAAAAAAGCAAGATACTACAGGGAGAGCCAGGGCTGGATAACTGTTTCTGTGACCACATTGCACAGCTGCCTGGCAAAGATGGGAACGTGGAAGATAACCACAACTGTACCGCCTGGCCGCCCACTATAACAGTAAAACCCGACCGCAGATTAATGTTATTACAGAATTTACAACGGCTATCAATCAAATGGTTGCTGATGCTTATGAAATCATCTATGAGCAGATGAGAGATCAGAAATTAACTGTAGACTTAACCCCTTCCACTAGCTGTATGCATACATGTGTCAGCATGCCCACCGGTGGGCTTTTATGCCATGCTGCCACATACATGTGCACAGCCGCCGTTATTCAATTGCACGCCGACCAGGTAATGTGACTGTGCTGTAACTGTCAACTTCAACTTTTGGTCATTGGGATCAGGGGGGGCCACAGTGATAACATGATCAGGAGGCCCTGGAAACACCATCGGCATTAAGATTCCCTTAAAGGGCTGGCACCTGCTAGTAAAGAAAGGGATACAGAGCACGTGTGGGTTTGGTGAACCCAATAAGTACTAAGAGAGAGGCCGAGAAGTCATGGACTACTCTTTTTTTCTTACAAAGCCCAACTGTAGGCTTTTTTTTTTTAAAGGTTCCCAAGGAGGTTAAAGAATGCTGTTCTGGCTGCAATACTCAACTCTCATTCAGTGCTGTCCTCTGCATTCATTCCTTTTTACTGCCATATGGCATCAGTCTTCCGGGTTCAATTCACATGCAGGACATCAGGAATCCTGACGGGGCATCACCATGGATCCCTACATTCGTAGTGCAA